ATAGATAGATAGATAGATAGATAGATAGATAGATAGATAGATAGATACTACAACTAGTGACGTAATAATCCGATTTTCAAATAACAGCTGTAGTAGTAAACAAAACCCAGCTGCCGCGTGCTGGCTTTAATCCACGGTCAGGCAGGTTCTTAGACATCCTTCTCAGCAAACTCTTGAAACATTCACCAGGCAGTTTTATTCCGTCTGCAAGGGTTTTAAAGTTGGTCCAACCATCACGGATATGTAAGGGCCCTGGCAGAAGAGTTTTGCATGCACACTCTGACTCCGTTTTCTCTCCTAGATGTGCTCGGGTGCCTTCAAGGCAATGTTCTGAAACCCCCATCGCCTGCACGGCAGTCCGTGCATGGCAATCACTTGAGTTTCCAAGCGCGCACAGTTTGGAGTTTGATCTATTTTAACATTATGATATCACGATTTAATGTTCGGCTGTGATTACCTCGTGTACCACAAGTTAAAAAGTAAATAAAAATAAAAAAAAACACAGAGTTCAGAGGCACGCAACACTCAGCTGAAGGTTCCACTCTCTCATTACTTATTCAGCCTCTTTTAGTCACTATGTCCTGAAGCTGTTTTTTTTTTCCAGCATCTAAAATGCGCAGTCAAACAGAAACGCTCATATCCACCCACCAATCATCTAAACGCGGGGGAAATCCATAGAATAAAACAAAAAAAGGGAAGACTCTGCCTAGTGCGCACGGATACGCGCCATCAGTCAACATCTTGAAATATTTTCATTAGTAATTTTTTCTGTTCATAACATTTTTACGACGTCACAGACTGGCATTTTCCCCATGCCAGTTTAAGAAAAAGGTATTTTTCTTGGTCCGATATAATACCTTAACAAACTCTACTCACTTGGAAGTCGACATTCCTCTCAGGTTTTCAGGAGATGCGTTTTACCGACATAAACCCACGCAGCAGACTTCCCTGGCCGAGTCATACATCCATAAACTGCTCAGGACGAAATAAAGAAGTAGAAGCAGGAGGGTCCGGGATCAGAAGTGAATCTCCTCTCTGCGGATGTTGACAAACAGCTGGAAGGGGGGGGGGGGGGGGGGTGGATCCTTAGCGCGTGGCGCTGCGCTCTCCTCCAACACGGATCTGGAGTGTCTCCTCCACTGGTTTCTCCAGTGGCTGAGGATGGTGATGACAGAGAAGTCCACCCCCCCCATGACATGACGCCAGCTGCACATCAGAAATGGGCTATTCGAGACAGTGATGGGTGGTGTTTCTCATGAGCATGTTTAAGTGGCCAACCGATTGTGATATTGGTATTCTTTCACAATTAACCCCTGAAACCCCTCGGTAGAGGTTTAATTTGCACTCCAATTTCACACCTAAGCTTGTTCAATTAAACGTACCACTGCAGTGTGCCTTCTCATCTCTGCTGCAGCCTGAAAGGTTCTGTTTAACCACCCTCAGATCTAAAGTTAAATGTATGAGCCACATCTTTAATTCGTTCCCATTCTTTTTTTTTCTCTTTTTTATTCACATTTGCTGCCTTTGACTTTCATCTTCATAATTTCTCTTTTTAATTTCATGGCCAAAGACATTAGTGCAACCTCAGATTAGGAAGAACTAGGAAGTGCCCTATTTTACTGGTGGCCATGTCTGGTGGATGTTCAGATCTGGTCAGATTTGAAATGTGACAGTGAAGTTGTTCAGCAAAAGATAATCACATTAAAGAACTGAAATCCTGTCCCGGAGAAAAAGATGTGGAGAGCCTGAGTGAGTAATTTGATAAGATGATCAATATCACGGCTTCATTGCTGCGTGAGTGGGCCTGATGATTGATGGTTGTGTGTCTTGTCGAGGCATGTGAAACTGTGTCAGCCTCACTTTCTCAGATGGGACGATGGCTTATATGTAAACCTTCTTTGGAAGAAAAAATAAATAAAAAAGGAAAATCCAAACAATAAGCAAACATGTACGTACATAACTTGCCTTTTCTAATATTCAATAATCTTTTAAATGCTACATTAACAAAAGGATTTTGGTCATTAAAACATAAGTTTACTGTGAGTTAAGGCTCTTATATCAGAGCTCCTGTTCACAGGACAAAGGTCAATGGACCTCTAATGTTACCCATAAGTTTAAATAGTCGAGTATTAGTTTATATGTGCCGCTCAACAGCTCACTCTCCATCAAGGATGAGCAGAACAGATGCGAAATCCATCAGTAGCTTTCCTCTCTGGTTGCTTTTTCAGAAAAGAAAAATCTGTTTTTTCCTCAATACCACCCTGGTGTTTTTGAGCCCAGGAGAGGTCAGCAAAGATGAAGGTGCTGAAGAATCAGAAAGTCTGGACCCTCTCAGCAATTCCTCCATCTGTATTTTCGGGGGTCCGTATTGCTGCCTGACTAAGTTACACAGGTTTTATTCAGATTGTTTTATCTGGACTGTCAAGTGAGCGTTTCAGTAAAAAATATTAATGCTGAGTTTGTGTGTTTTTCTAATTTACGTCTTTGGATATGATGCTTGGTATCTTTGTCAAACAGTGTTTCTTAGCAGGGAGATACATTAAATTGCAGCCGAAGAATAAAACGGGTCCTTTGCAGCTAGAATCCAACATTTTTGTAAACTGAAGTGGATACTCATATTCTGTTACATGCCGTCTAAATCCTCCACCACTCTGAAATCAGATGATAGTTGTAGGGTCGTTCAGTGCAGTCCCATGTCATCTCTGCTTCTCTTTAATCTCTGGAGTCTTTTTCTTCTGATTTTCAGACCTTCCTTTAATCTTCTGCCTTTCAAAAACAGTAACAGAGACTCTGACTCAGCCGTCTACTCGCAGGTGGAAGGAACAGCACCTGCCTGTTGTCGTGGTTTCATTTATCTTCAGGTTTGGCTCGAGTCCGTCAGTGGACACTACATTAAAAAAAAGATTGTAATCCTGTTGTAATCCTTAATCCAAGAGTCACAGCGGGGAGCATCAGTCCAATACTTCAAATCACAGCGAGGGGAATTCGTCTCATTTTGCAGGACGACGACATGAAACCAGTCAGTTGCTTTGTTTTTATACCTTTTCTCTGATATCCTTTCCATGACTGTATAGTATCAGTATTAAAGGGCAATTCCAACATCCAGTTTCAAATCGCTTTCCAGATGCTATCATCTTTATGTTTTGTATGATGACATACAGCTTTGTACTTTATGTGAATAGAATATCAGCATATCAAAATGAACTATTCTGACACTTTTCCTTGTTTTAACATTCCTTTTTCATTCTGTTCTTTTTCTTCCTTTTTCTAACTGTCCATCTCTAGGTGCAGATCCTATAAACTGAGGGTACACCATCGTCAGATAAGGCATTTCAGAGTGCACGCTAGTGTGGTTTGGGATTCCTCATGTGCCTCCATTTCCTTCGGAAACACACTGGCCTGTAAATATAACAGCTGTACAAGATGCTTGATTAATTTGGAGGAACAAATAGGCTTAAATGCCTGCAGCTGAGGTCAGTTAATGTGGTTAAAACGATTCTTCTCTAAAAAATCTTACTCCAACATATGATCTTATTTTTTTATCAGCTGCAGCTCTTATGCAACCAGACTCTGTCTGGATTTTTAAGCTTTGTGAAGACGTTTTAGTTTTAACCTCACCTCTGTTGGTTATTGTCCCTGAAAACAGTAAACAGCTGTACAGGCTGACTGAGGTGCTCTTAAATTCACTTCAGAGTGTCAACAGGAAAAGTGAGTGGGTCAAGGCTGGTTAAGTAGACATTGTGAGTGGCATTTTCCTCCTCATGTGAAACACATTTGTCCACTCCAGACTGTGAGTGCTCATTTAAATGTTCAAAACATGTGAGATTCTGGATTGATTCTTGGAGAAAACAGCAACCAGAGGTTTTTAACAGGGCAAAAACATCACTTTGAAGGGGAGAACTTGACTGTCAGAAAAGAGAAAAGTTCCTGATGTTGAGGTTTACTTGGAAGCTAATGGGTCCCTCAGAAAGTACTCAAAGCCTAGTAATTCGGTAATTAAAAAGGTGCATCTTTGCTCTTGTCACCCGTGATTTTATTTTGTTTTCCAAGCTGAAACATTTGTCTGCGTAACATCAGACTTAGAAAATGAATTCTCTGCTGGGAAATGCTTGAGTCCTGATTTTCATATGGATGAATGTCATGCACCAACCCCTTCAACACTATGCAGATCAAGCACACGACCTCACCAAGTAGGAACGTGTGCCATGCCGCGAATACAAACTACTTTCGCAGACAGGACACAATCAGAAATCCCAAGGTGGTGATGAGTCCTAAAATATCTGACCAACCATTCTCCGGATGCAAATTAGTTTCATCCACAAAGGCCCCACACTGCATCTCAAATACCGGGAGGGGTCAGCTCCTCACGATTTGGTGCTTCACATCACAGGAGTCAGAGAACAATAAAGCCAGTTGGAAGAACAATAAAGATTAGACATTAGAGAGATGAGACCAAGTACATGACACTATGTGGAGTTTTTTAAACTGTCTGAATCTACTTTTTTTTTTGCCAAATATGTACGTACATTTAATCGTTTCTTTCCTATCTAATCATATAATAAAGATTGATCCCATTTTTAGCCATGAGGGGACTCTAATCTAATCAGACATTTGTACGGAACTAAATCTAAAACATGTTTTAGTCCAATATGTGTTTATTTAAACTGTCATTTAAATTGAGTTTAAATGCTGTTTTTCATTTGATTTGTTTTTCAGAGCCCACTGAAACAAATGTCCTGCGGGTAAACGATGCTCCACGCTGTCTGTTTTTTGTCATTTCTGTCTCGTTCCTGTCAGTGTTTTTGATCCCTAACTGTTTCTGGATTTTTGAGTTCGTCCTGCTCCCTGTCAAGTGTTAATTCATTTGAATGAATCTCACCTTTTGCATTTCACCTCGCTGGGTCCTGAATGGTTGTGCCCACTTGGTTAAATCCATATTTCAGCAGCAGTCCCTTCATCTCTTTTCACATCTCACTTTAACTCTGAATTGATCAAACATGACTGTCTCTGTTTTAATATTTTGTCTTTTTTCTGTGCCAAATTACTCAAATAATTTCCCTTTGTTTTTTACAGACAGAAAAAATTACAGCAAAAAAACACGTGTACTGCCTGAAGACTTAAATTATTTGCACTTAAAGAATCTCACATTAAATACTAACTGAGCTGTTTACAGATTCATCCAGCATGCTGCCAGGAGTGGGAAAAGACTGAGTTCAAGAAGTATATTTGTGATGCATTATTTTATTAATTCAAAAAGAAAAAGAAAAGAAATCCATACAAATTAGTTGTTCCATCACTGTCCCTTAATATTCATGATTATCAGAAAGCAGTCCTTATGTCACAAAGTTCTGTGGAAACAGCATTGTCAGTGTTTCTTACGTCCATCAGCGTGTTTTATCATGAAAAATTTCTCAGCGTAGATATATCAGACCTCCATCTAAAGCTTCACTCACCATGCTTTTTTATAGACGCCAGGATGAAAAGTCTCTGATGGTTCTTTGGCCTGCATGCATTTTATCCACCAGCTTTGTGCATTTGATGGCAAAAGACTGATGGGACCCCTTATTGTCTGTATGTCAATTTACTGTCTTCAGAAACTTTGTATTTTTCAACTGCAAATGGATAAATTCTTTCATCCCCAAACACAGCCATATATTTCAGATGACCTTATTGTGTCTGTGTTCATGCATACTGTGACAGTCTTGCCACTGTGGGTGCCCCGACAGAGTCTCTTGACCAGAGCTTTGTTCGTTCAGACGGTTTATTTTTAGAGCGTGTGTGCCACACGCACACACACTCTCTCACACACACGCTCACACACTCACGCCCACGCCCGGCTTGGGCTCTCTGGTTTGTTGGCAGTCTGGTTCAACTGCTTGGTCCCAAGCTGGTGGCTTGGGTTCTGCTTCGGCTCTGCTCAAAACCAGTCCTCCCCAGGTCCAGCATGCTACTCTTTTTACAGAGGGGAGAGTGATTAGCCAACCGGTTCCAGGTGTGTCTAATCATCTCCCCTGGCACTGCTCACCTGAGCCT